AAGAAGGAGGAAGAGGAGGAGAAATCATATCCTTAAATGCAATAAAGTTGTGATATGGAAAAACACCAAAGTGTTTCAAAATAACAACAATATCCCAGTAATCATTCCATTTACACAATAAGATTAAATGTGGATTATTAATTAATTTCAAATTAATATCCTCCCATAATATCTTAACATGGAGTCATGCTCTTTAGATAAATGGCCTTGAGCAGGGGTTGGAACAATACCCTGGCCACATAGTTGTGTCACACTCTATCCCAACTACTTCTTATCACAGCCTGGGCTCCTCCAAGGCTGGAGCTCTGGTTAGGAGTGTGGGGAGAGGCAAGCTGCTCATCACAGCTGAGCACAGGCCTCTAATTCCATTATCACTTGAAGAGTGTCAGGTTCAGGGCTAGTGGTAGAGTGCTTGCCTAGCGTGTGTGAGGCATTGGGTTCAATCCTCAGCATGACATAAAAGTACATAAATAAAATAAAGATATTTTGTCCATTTAAAAATAAAAATTAAGAAAAAAAAGAGTATCATTTACAAAATGTGAACCATGAGAAGCTCCAGACAAAATTTTGGTTCCTTAGATATCCGATAATGTAAATAAGTTACTAAATTTGTGCCTGGACCTTTTGAACTTATAACTTTTATTTATTTATTTATTTATTTATTTTGTTCTGGGGATTAAAATCAGTGCCTCTCACTTGTGAGCTAAGCACTCTATCACTGAGCTACATCCCAGTCCTTTTTATTTTGGAATCACAGATAGGTACCACTACAATGCACAGAAATTTTTTTAATATTTATTATTTTTTAATACCTCTATTTCACTTATTTTTATGTGATGCTGAGGATCGAACCCAGGGTCTCACATGTACGAAACGAGCGCTCTACCGCTGAGCCACAACCCCAGCCTCCAATGCACAGAAATTTAATTCTTTTTTTTTAAATTAATCATTGTTGGACACAATACCATTATTTTATTTGTTTATTTGCATGTATGCTGAGGATCGAAACCAGCACCTCACACATACTATGTGAGCAC